CCCCAAAACCCCAAAACCCCAAAACCCCAGAGACTAGTTTGTAAGTGATAGAAAATAATTAAATAATCAAAAACAAGCACCTATATATAAATTTATAATGCAATCACTTTAAGTGTAGATATAGTCGAAAATCTGTAATACAAAGTGAATTATTGCAATAAACTAATTTTCAGATTATATTATATCATTGGACATTTTTCTCAGATTTTTCAGAAGGTTTTGAGCTATTTTTAAGAAGTTAATTAGATTAAAATCTCTGTGATTTTCCAAATTATACTGAATTCCCTTCTTATTGCAAAGTTTGATTTCCAATAATAGTCTAAGTCCCTCCAATACTTGTATTCATTCCATTATAGGTTAATAACTAAGTTTCATGATCATTTTCTAAAGCTGCTGTTGTCAATTAATTGCCAGTCCTCACAACTTCAACATTTTAGGGCGACATCATTTAGCTAAATATTCTAACGTCATTTTTTTCCTCCTCGTCAGAATTTTCAATTTATAGAATGTCTTAACGCTAGCTCTCTTCTATTTAAAACTACTCAACATATTGTTCATTAAACTATGCCGAAGCTTAGTCCTCATTATCTTATTCATCTACCATTTCCTATCCAACAATTCGACTTGTATTAAAAATTGAGTGGTTCTGTATCACTTCATTAATCTGCACTTCCTAATATGGAGCTACCCTGTTATTATAATTCACTCTAGCTTTGCTTATCTATTGACCTAAGCGACTCATGTTCTCCTAAATCAGATTCATATCCTAGTCACTATCAAGAACGCTCTAAGCAATGTTTATTCGGCTATCGTTATTAAAATGAGGCTAAGCCTCTCTTAATGTATTGATATTCGACACTGTATCATCTCGGAGTAACCTAGCACTATTTATTTAACTTGTATTATGTGATTACTATCTGTCCTCCATTTCAATTTATTTCACATTCAGCTGATTTTTCAATGAAGCTCTAACATTATTTCTATCTAATTACTAGTAACTTTATCTGACTGAGTTAATAACTGACCTGCTCTTTTCTTATATTCTTGGGTCGACATATGGCGAGTTTGCACGGTCTTCTTCTTTTAGCTCTTCTAATCTTTCTAGTCCTCTTTGTCTATTATTAGATATTTGACTAAAGGAAAGTGGAATATTAATTCCAGAACTATTATCCTCTCTTAGCTAGGACATTTCAGAACTATTCATTCTATTTACATTAGTCATTCTTTAATTTTATATATCTGAGACTTAATTATTATTAACTTGATTTCTTTGTAATGCTGAGCTTTACTAGGCATCAGGCTGAGTTTGGAATTCTATAGCTACTGAAACCTACCTTTCATCATTTCGATATCTATCAAATTAACTTCTGATATGTATTTGATTCTAGTTATGAATCGTTGAATTTGAATAGGGATTATCCTAGAAATTAGTGTGATTGCTTATAGCATGATTAGATTAATAAACGGCATTGCTATATTAGTTATTCAATGCGAACGAAGTATTTTAGTTAGTCTCCTAATCTATAATTCTTGATTGATTAAGCTATTTGCCATTTTTAGCTTTTACATCTTCAAACAACTCAGTGAATTCTGATGGTATAAATTTCTAAAATTCTTCAAACGACAAGTATTTATCTTTTTTATTATTAGATCTAAAGGAAGGATTAAATTATGTGAGGTAATTACAATCCAAGGCATCTTTAAAGGCATGAAAAGCGATTTACAGCATATACACCCATCACAACTCTTCCGATTTGTAAGAATAAAGGTAAATTTATCTTTAAGGGAGTAATTTCACGAAGCAGAGCCAGAGTCCCGAACTTAGATTCATTATCTTCAAGATATATCTCACCTGCTTTATTCATTCTCATAATTGAATGAATTCTGCTGACACTAATATCTGTAATTCTTACCTCAGCATTTTGTCCTCTTCCCTAATATATGAACTTAAGTATCCTTACCACTTTGATTTTCCTTTTTTCGCTAAAATTAATAACGTGGATTGTCTTTGAAGTAGTGTTAGTTACGCTCTCAATTATCATGTAACTCTTTGCATCCTCATGAATATCATACTGTAATAAACTAACTACTCTCCCATCATTTAAAGTTGTACTTTCTTGATACTATGTTTTGCATATCTAAATGAGTTATTGAAACTCGAAACACTTACCTCACATTCAAGATTTTTCCAGATGTAAGAATTTACTATAGTCGTTTCTTTCATATGTTTCTTGCCTTCAAGCCATTCTTTCAAGCACATCAAATGTATGAATTTCATAGAACCCGTGCAAGAGCATGGATTTATAAGTGGATTACTAAGCTTTGATTTATCTTCTTCCTCTGATAAGCAAATCCTACAAATCTTTTCATGAATATTAGATTTATTAGTGCTCTGCCTTCGAAGAATTTTGGACTTCAGCTTTATTTCTAACTCATGCTGCTTAATTGATTATATTTATTCTAGTTCAAAAGGTCTATTATCGAATCCCGGTGTCTCTCTATTGAAATTCATTGTCATCCTTGTTTCTGGATCAGTATTCATGTTATGCTGATTTATTTAAAGCTAACTATAGTTATCGCATTCTAAGGTCGTTGGTATCCGATTTTATGTCCCGTCTAATTAGGTCCTATGCGGTTTATTGGTAAAGCTCTACATGTCATTAATCTCATCTGCAGCACTTTCAACAATATCATCTGTGTCAATAACGAGCTTCTTTATGAAAAATCTCACTCTACCGAACTTCATAAGATCACCTTATTTGACTCTGAATTGATTTTGCTTTCCTTAGTGTGTAGCGAATTTAACTATCCTCCAAACATGTTCTGCGTGGTTTTTAAATGAGTCATCCTTCAATGATTTGCAGTGATAAAGCCAGTATTGCTATTATTTGAACACTACTGAGGCTAGACTTTGGTCTTTTTCAGATATTTCAATACTAGGAGCTAATGCCTTCACCATCATCTCAGATCTCACAAGCATACCTAAAATTGAATTTATCAAGAATATTAAATTGCATACTGCATCCAGTAGATCTGAGACTTACTCGATTCACTTGCTTACTCTCATAATCGTATAGTCCATGTGAATCTCTATCCCAAACATAGGCTTCCATCTGTACTCTAATTTATGTGAGGATAGGCAATATTTTACTATTGAGTGATGGGTTCAGAATTGATGTGTTTAGGATTTATTTTCGTGAGTCCATGCGAAGTGACTTGTTTATTATTAGTTACAGTTGAAGTACTTGACATAGTAGAAATTTATAATAAAGTAAATACATCTTATCGAATTTTATCTCTTTTTTAATTATCCACTCTCTGCGGGGTTTTGGGGTTTTGGGGTTTTGGGGTTTTG